ATCGAAAAAAATCTTCCAAAAATTCTAAAAAATAATTATATTTACATTTAAAAATTAAAAGTTTTAATATTGGAAAAAAAAATATGAAAAAATTCTTTAAAAAGTTAAAAAAATCCAAAAAGTTCTTAAATTTACAAAAAATTTATTAAATTATATTACAAATATCAAAAACCAAAAATTATATAATTATTGGTAGACTAATTTCGAACTCATCAAAATTATATAATTGTTGGTAGACTAGTTTCGAACCAAAATGAAGTTTCATAACGATCTTCTTAAACTCATTAAAATCATTATCAGACATTTCAATAGTCATAGCGCTCATTAAGCTTCTTCAACACAACTACGCACCATCTACTTGAAGAAAAACATCTCTTCAGGAGAAAAAAAAAATATTATGTTACAATCATTTGTGGGCTAACATACTCGCTATTATCCTGTTGTAATGTACTGAATCTGATTCTCTAAATCTGTCATAATTTAAAATAAATTTACCACCAATTACACAAACAAATCTAATCGGTCGCACTTGATTTAATATATGGTGATTGTTGACAAAAAAAAAAATAACGGACATTATCTTTATGGGCGTAAGTTGATAATTGAGATATAAAATGTTCAACTTAATTAGTTGGGGTATTAAACTCGATAGCGAAAAAGTTTAGGTATTGAAAAGTTTAGGGTATTTTTATGGAATTTAGTTCGGCTTATCGGAATATTCGTATGATATTTTTTTGGTCGACCAACATATTCATTACTTAAAAAGTTTGGTACTGAAAAGCTTATCGGAATTTAGTTAGACTCTGTAATCTTTTTAAGTAATGAATATGTTGGTCGACCAAAAAAAATAAGGTGGAAAACGAACCAACATTCATGAATATCCAAACCAACTCTTATTATAACCTGAACTATATCAAATTTTATATATCAAGTTACTCGAACTAAACCCGAATTTTATAAACCGGATCAAACAAACCGCAATTGATTTAAATTTATTTTTCTAATTAGATATATACAAAGGATACATTTAGATATCTTAAAAATGTATTATTTTTAATTAGAATTAATTAAATATTTTGATTATGGTTGTGTCAAGAAATTAATCCAAACCAAACCGATATTAAATTCGGTTCTCCTAAAACCCAAACCGAAGTGCATCTAATAACCGAACCAAAATGAATATTGGTTCTCCTTATACCGACCGGTTAATGTGTTTCGATTTGCTCTTCTGTGCATTGAGGCTTCTTCTCTTCTGTGTTGCAATCCGAAGCTTTTGTCAATGGCGACGAATCCGACGTTTCAGCTTTTCTCTTCTTCTAACGATAACTCTACTCAAGGTTTAGGGTTTTTCGATTCACCGGAGCCAG